TTTGAAGTTTAGATTTTACACAATAGACTTAAGAAGATGAAGCCTGATCAAAGCTGCAGTGTCAACTTAATTGACTGCATTAGTTAAAAATATATATATTTCAACTTCACAATGTTAATGTTTCGCAAGTCAAATACCACATCTCAGACATTTAGGCTTTTTTTTTTTTGTCAAAATATTTGTTTTCAAATACCCTAATATTTTCTTTCTTGGCACTTAAACACCATAATTGCATGATTTTGAAATTTATGTATATTCTTGGTATCATTAAAAATAGTTTAAGCCATTGACGATATAAAAAGGTGTTAGTCTTGGTGGCCGCATAGATACTTGACTAACAGAAAAAAGGTATTGGCATTTATGGTGGTGCTCAAGTTTTGGCTTTTTTTTTTTTACTCTTATTTGCCATTATAAAAGGTGTATAGATAGAAACTGAATATAAAAAAAAAATAAATGGCTTACAAAATAATGTACCACAAATGAGTTGGTAAAAAGCTTTACTCTGCTCATGACGTATTTCAGTTGCAGGCTGTGTTCTGCTCCCAAGCTTCTAAAATATTTAAAGATGGGAATATTTTCAATGTGAAATGAAGTATTTTTTTATTGATTAAAACCTTTGGGTTGATATCTGGCTAGCTCCACATTTACCTGATACAAATAAACCCATAAAGTACTTGGGACATAACTTGGAGATTACCGACTTTATTCAAGTATTTCCTTTTTACTCTTTCTGAAACTGTTTGGCAGCTGGGTAAGTGAATAAAAAACTTTAGTTTTTTCTTAACTTGTAAAAGTTGAGACTAAAGCATAGCTCCCTTTGTTAGGACTAACAGGCGCACATACATCCTATAACCTTTCACAATGTGGAAGATATGCAGCTGAAGATTCTCAGTCATCCAGGTCATAGTCCTTTCATACAAGGAAAAAAAAAACAATCCACTAGACTTTGTTTCCAAATGTCTCCGAACTTGAGAAAAAAGTCGAGTGGATTGTTTTTTTGTTTGTTTTTTTTTACTTTTTTTTCACCTTTTGCAATGTAGTAGACACTGTCTTACAGTTGAGTGAATGTGATGTAAGTGGATATTATGCTTAGGAAAAAATATCTTGTAAGCAGGAGTTTAGGTTTGTTGGACATGTTGAATAACAACTTTAACATTAAAACCATTCAGAAGAGTGACTTGTCCAAGCTTCAACCTGTAATTATGGAACTCACCACTAGAGGGTGTTTGCACTTCAAGCATTTTCCCCCCTCTTCTACCAGAACCCATTAGTGAAAGCAAAAAGCGCGCTCTTGCGGTGCCATCCACTCATATCTTTGTGTTTCCAGCTGTGAGATGAGGTGATTGCACTGTTTGTTTTTGGCCTTAACCTGCTTATCAGATATACACAGAATGGGATCTTGCACATGCTGGACCGCAACAAGCGCATCAAAGTAAAGCCTGAGAGATTTCAACTGTGCAAGGATAAATTTGACCTGGTCATCACCTGTGAGGAACGAGTCTATGACCAAGTACTAGAGGGTAAGCTTTTGTTTAATAGACAATCTTGGATTAGTATACAAGACTTGATTCTTTTATTTATATATATTTATATATTTCAATAAATTTATCTTAACCTTCTTTCTAGATTTGAATTCAAGAGAGCAGGAGACCTTACAACCAGTGCATGTAATCAATGTAGATATTCAGGATAACCATGAAGAGGCCACGCTGGGAGCCTTTCTCATCTGTGAGCTGTGTCAGTGTGTACGTATCTGATTCAAAGTCCTCTTAAAACAGAATGTGATCATTTCAACTGGACAGAATTGTTGCCTCATGGGTTTTAGATTAGGACCCAGTTAATGTGTATTCCTGCTTTCCTCCCTGCAGATCCAGCACACGGACGACATGGAGAATGAAATCGACGAGCTCCTGCAAGAGTTTGAAGATAAAAGCAACAGGCCTTTTCTCCACACCGTCTGCTTCTACTGATACATGAAACAAGTTTGCAATAAACACACACCCAGACCCCCTAGCAATGAATAGAATATGGAGTAGCCGTCTGTGTAATCTACGGATGGTTAAAGCAAGTGCGCGTTGATACGTGCATGTGCATCTGCACAGGCCCTTGATCCTTTGAGCCAGGACTCAAAGATTGAGAACTACTGGTAATAGTTTAATGGGTGATTCCACGGAGGATGGACTTGCTGCTATTATGCCTTTTATTCTTCTTGATCAGGGTTAGACCGCAGTCCCTCCACCCTGATCCAAGTCAAATGAAATCACATGACCATGTCTCCTCAGGGAGAGCTAGGACACAAAGCCCCCAACAAGCCCCTCTTTATTAAGTTGTAAAGCACATTTGTGCTCCTTTTATTTTTGTTTAAACATTTAATTTCAGTATGAGATGATGTATATGTGTACACACAGGAAGTGAATTGTATTTTATTTTGTGCAGCCATCTGTTGTAGATAAATTTGAATTAAGTTTAAGAGGGCGGGCTAGTGATGAATAACCAAACGTCTCAGAGGTGCTCAGTCGGTATGTTTTGAACGTAATGTACTGATTTATATTTAAACTCTGAAATGCTGTCTATAAGGGCATAGGTTTGTTTTTTGTAAATGTTTAAGAATTGAAGCTTTGTCATTTTCAAACTGCAAAGTTCATCTGAGTGCCTGACTTTTCTGTATGTATATGTATATATGAATCTACTAAAAACATGTAAGATATTTTAATGTGCATTGTTTTCTTTTTTTCCAGAACATTTTATTTTTAGGAAATTTGTCACTAAGCTATAAAGAAACCAAGGATTTTGTATTTAAATGGGTGCGATCCTGTGCTCGTGAAGAACTAATTTGATTCATAAATACTTTAATCCAGAATGGAAATAAGATTTCACTGGCGCTCATGGAGAAACCTTCAAGTTGTGATATTAATGGCTGTAGGATCTGTAGAGGTCTGTTTTACTGTGGATATGGCCTCCAACTGCAGATACTGCTGGAAACAAAATAGTCTGCAAAAAAAAAAGGTTCCAGTTATCTTTCATAAGTATGATTTCATCATAGATTATCCTCTTGTTTCACAGTTACTGTTTTTCTGGTGTAAAACGAGCTGCTGATGAAAGCAGAGATAATACTCATCAAAGAGCAATCCTTAAAAATACTGAATAATATATATAAATATGTATTTGTATAATATATATATTCATATACTGCCATGTTTATATTATTTAATTGCATTTTATATATATATATATATATATATATATATATATATGGTTAATCCAGTCTGAGTTCAGTTTAAATAGTTTTTAATCTAATAAATGTTTAATCTAACTGAAAGGTAAATTTTAATTTTTTTTTAAGGGGTGACATGTAGGAGATTATTGTAATATCTTTGTCGTGTCTCAGATGTGATTAAAATGAGATCAAGGCACCCCCTATTTATTCTGACAGCAGCTGTCTGAACTACAGTCTGATCCAAGATGGCCAACCTTTAGGCATGTCGGCCTTGAGTTTTTATGGCATTACTGCTGAGTGTATGATTTAATAAAGTCTATTGCCTTTTAAATGATATTAAATCCAAACTTAAGTTTCCTAGATTACTCACTGGGTTCCATTCTCTCATATGACAGAAATTAAGTCCATGTACACGCCTTTAATCAGTGGGTTGAGGAATCAACTTTAGGAGCTTTTGAAAATTTTATGCTATTTATCTTTTGGACTCCTAGTAAAACAGACATTTTTGTACATATATATATATCACACTTTTAACCATTCAGAGCCTGGATCATGAAATAATTGACAGAAAATTCAAAATTGTTGTTTTAAATTAGAGTTATCATTGAATTTTCTGACAAATAACAAAAAAGAAAATTGTAAAAGTAAATCAGATGATTTATTTGTATCCATTTTGATACATTAGGCATTTCTGTATATTCTTTTATATGTCTGTTCATATGTGACTGTAAGTTGGGGTTTCCAAGAACAAAAAAAAAAAAAAGGCGCAGAGGTTTAAAACACTTTTTGCTTTAAAGGGGCAAATACTTTTCCTGAAATCCTCTATTACAGAACTGAGTAGAAACCTTTAATACTGTAGATCACTAATTCGTGTCCAAATACTATATAAAATTGTTGGTATAAACTGCTTATTTAAAGGTGCCCTTTAAGTCACTAACAGGATAACTGAACAAGAGAGACAAAACAAAAGTAAAAGAAAAAATGAGATCATTCATTTAAATGAAGATGGCGTCCAAGTCAGAGCTGATAGCTGAGCTGGTTGACAAACAGGCAAAAGATGTAACACAGAAGGACGAGGAGGATTCATAATGGCTGTGTTCCATTTCAGCGGCTGCTTCCTCCAAAGGACCCAGCCTACTTGGACTGGGTCTGTCGAAGGCATTGAAAATAAGGAGGCCAGAAGAGTTGGGCTATAGATTAAAACAAGTCTAGGACTAATCCCAAACTGCCCCCTAAACACTAACACTTAATCAAGTGTGACTCCAAATTAAGTCACACTCACAGCTGTGGAGGCACCTTGATTGGAAGTGGAGGGGTATAAATGAGAATAGGACGGCCCCTTCCCTCCACCAGAAAGCAGGAACTTTGTGGCACAGATCCTCATATTTAGTCAAAACTATTTCATAAAGGTCCTTCCCTTGCTTAATCATCAGACATTTGTTTTCATATCCAAATGTGCAACTTACTGATTTTAAAAGTAATTATCCATTAATTTACCCAAATAAAAAAAATATATACAGTCACAAGATAATCAAGAAGAACCCATTTTAACATCTTCAACTTAGCTTATAATCAACACTTAAAACAAGTGTGGGCCGAACTTTCAGTAATGGTTGATCCCACAAATCAGTGTAAAATCTGGGTTCCAGCTCCATCCCTTCATTTTAAAGCAAACAATCTCCCTAAAAGATTCTTTACAGATCATTATCAGGTAATCACCTAATCACTGAGTTTATTGCTGTGGCTCAAAACATGATTTGCACATTAGAAAAATCGAACAGGATTTTGTTAGAAAAGCTTTTTAATTTGTACAGAGAAACTTGACTTTGCACGACATTTATAATAGTGTATTAACAGACATATTGTCTTATTTCTACGTAAACTTCATGTTTGCATTGTTTACATGTTATATGAATATGAAAGATTCAGGCATCAGTTGTGTCATGACACATAATTATCTCTCCATGCTGTTACCTAATCTGAATGAACTTTGAGACCAGTTAAGAGGGACGGGCTCCAAGTCCCGTTAACTCAAACTGGGGTTCCATCCTTGGGAGGAGAGGAATCTGGCTTTCTTTTACCGTCAGGTTCAGGTAAAACTTCATCGGCCGTTTTACCTTCTGCTTTAGCAGCATCTGCACAGTCTTGTATAGCTGGATCGGCATGTTTGCCCTCTGCAGATTCTATTGGGTTTAATTTCAGGACTGGAGCCATCACCTCCTGAGCATGAGGCGTCTCCTTCAGAGGGAGAGTGAAACCCATTTTTCCATCGATAGCTCCTGCAGCAGGAGGTGTTAGGCTCTTAGCTGCCTCCTCCTCGGCACGGAGCCAGTCCATCTTCTGATTATGCTGCTTGATGGCGTCATCAACCCGAGCATCGATCATCGCTTCTGTTAAGATACCGTCCTCAGAGGAGTATGCTGCAGCCTGTGGATGATGGAGGGGACAGGTTTTCAGAGCATGTTGCTTTTTAGAGGAAAAGCAAAAAATAAACTGGAGGAAACGTACCTGCCAGGCAACACCCAGCTTGGAGATCTCCCTCCCTGACATACCCTCCGTCTTCTTGGCAATTTCAGAGCACTTTTTGCCGTAATCAAACTGTGCGAGCTTCAGCCTCCTTTACATTGACAAAGAAACAAACATAGATATAACCTAGGTGTAGAAAACAAGGGTAGTTCAGGCTGAATTTCACTACTTCATGATGGTGCTTACTGTCGCCCCCCAGTGGCCGGCTCCAGCACGTATTTGTCAAAGTACAATCGCACCAAGCGCTCCCTCTCCTCCAGACCGGGCAGAGCAAAATTCACTATTTCATCTATGCGGTCATTGATGGCCCAGTCAAACTGCTCAGGCTGGTTACTAGCCAACACCAACATAAACCTATGGGGGGTGTCAAGAGAAAAGCAACTTTAACTCTGTGGCTAATGTGCCGGTTAGAATGTTAAACCTGTTAGAATCATCCTTACTTGTTGCTCTGCTCTCCAGTGCGGTACAGGAATGCATTCAAAGTGGCCCTGAGGTCTTCACTGATCTTCTCCTACAATAGTGAGAAAAAAAGTGTTTAAAGATCATTTTCTTTCCACATTCACCACATTACAGCCAAAGCAATACATCTGCAACCATGTGTGTTCATTTTCTAAGGAAAATAGATCAAGCTCATTCAGACTGGATGGATGGTTTCCATGAACATCAGTTTTCAAATCCAGCCACAAATTCTTAATTGGATCTAGGCCCGGACTTTGACTAGACCATTCCAACTAATGAATATGCTTTGATCTAAGCTATCCACAGTAGCTCTGGGTGTAAGTTTAGGGTTGTTCTTCTAGAAAGAACCTCCACCTCAGCCTCTCTGAAGGCCTGAGAAAACAAGCATGATGCTGCCATTACCGTGCATCAACATGTGGTCAGTGTATTTTGTGAGTGTTCATTTCCTTGCTTGCAAAAGATATTTGAATGCAAAGAAAACATTTCAGGTTCATCTAATCTAATACCAGCAGGTTCCTCTACTTACTTGCTGTAATAATTTAAACAGGTTAATGGTTATAATTAAAAAATTGTTTTCTATATCCTCTATTCTATAATCATTAGAATGTAGAGCAGAAGACACCAAATATAAAAGAATATCCCAATTTCTTATTTTTTTTATTAAGCAGACATTTCCTTTATTTTTTTATTCCCACTTGTCCTGCTTCACATTGGTCTAAAAAATAAATCAAAATATAATGCATCATCAATCAATAAACACATTTAGATGCCACTGTGTGTCCAGACTTACAGTGGCTCTCTTGCGAAGGAATGCATCAGCCTCGTCCACAAAAAGCAGCAGCCTGTCACAAAAAACAAGTCTTAAGATTCTCCAGAAAGCAAACGCTAACACCTTCATTAGCACTCTAATAATTTGCATTACTCCAGGAGCCTACCCGCGTCTGCTTGTGTTGGCCCAGTCAAACACTTTATGCATAGCAGTCACACCGTCCCGACCCATGGGTGCTACATCACCACCGGTCATTATAGCATAATCCATCCCAGAATGCATTGCCAGTTTCTACTCGACACAAATAAAAACTGATATTAGCACATCACTTCATTTGGTCTCAGCCTACTGCTCTCAGACCTCAGCTGTACCTTAGCAAACAGGGTTTTTCCCGTCCCAGGAGGGCCATACATGAGGATGTTCCTGTAGAGGCCGTTATTCTGCCTGGTGTTTCTCGTTGCAATGGCGATGTCACGCACCCGTTCCTCTAAGGACGGCTAATATGGTGGGGGAGGGAATGATGGAGCCATAAGACACAAAATTCTTCAATATAAACATTTCATCATTCAATGATTAAATCCACTTACCTTGAGCACAACTCCTTCCAGTGCATCCTGAGGCTTACTCTTCAAACGCTTCACCGTCTAAACAGAGAAAAAGGATCAGAATTCCCTTCATTCAGCACCTGATGCCTTTTCTATCCAAGAATTCAAATAAAAACCATTCAGTGCATGTTAAGCACCTTGACTGGATGCTTTATAGCTTCTCCAACGCTGAATCGGGACGTCTCCCGCACTAGTGACGGTTTCCCAAGCCTAGCCTCGATGTAGCGTCCCGCCACTGCAGTTGCATTTCGGGCTGAATACACCCCTACAGCCAGTAAGGTCAGCCCTGCCACCTAGTGGAGAAAAGAGAAGAAGCAACTTGGATTTATTTACCATTCAGACCAAGGCAGACTTTTAAAAGAAAATGGGAAAATACACTTGCAGGACATCTACAATGCCCATCCACCTTTTTACTTTTTCTCACAACTAGAGAATTCAATCTCTGTCTGTAGGTGGTTTTCCACATAGTTTTATGGAGAAGCTTTAACCGCATTAAAATGAAAAAATATGCAATACAATAACCCAGTCCATTGCTTTTTGGGTGTAACTTACAAAAACAAAACACACAAAAAAAAGCAGGTCATTGTGTTTTTTTTTTTTTCATTTTAAACTGAAAGGGGGGGGTCTTACTGTAGCAGTAACTTTATCCCAGTCAGAGACAAAGGCCCTGAATCCTTCTCCAAACACAGCACCAGCAGTCCTAAATGTAAACACACCTGTTAGTACGCCTGAAGGAGGTCAGACGGCCTGTGCTTAGGGCTAAACAAACACAGATCGCATCAATCAGTACAGTTTCACTTTTAAACCCACTTTATGGACTCCAGGACGGTCTGCCTATGCTCGGCCGCCTTCAGTCGGATCTGCTCTCGGATGATATCTGCGTTTTCCCTCTCAACGCGGGCTCGGGCTTTCGCCTCTGCCTCAATACGCATGAGTTCGTTCTTGTGTCTCAGCTCCATCTCGTGCTCAATTGTTGCTACAGAGACAGCAGTATATCAAAACGCTGAATGCCAAACCCAGACAAATGTGAAATATTACAGCGGTGAGGCTCCAACCTTTCCTCATGGCCTCTTGTTTCTGCACAGATTCCTCCTGTTTGCGCAGGTTCTCCTCATTCAGGATTTGCTGTAAAGTGGGATTAAAATTGGTCAGATGTCTCTGTGAGCTTCACCAAAGTATTTTCAGCAGAGATGAAGACCTCACCTGCTGCCTCAGCTGCTCCTCATATCTTTGCCTGGCCAGTTTATCCTGGTACTGAGCTCTCTGTTGGAAAGGTAGAAAACAAACGTTAATAAAACATCTTTATCCAGCTGATTATTCAGAGGCATAGAGCTGGAAGGCACTCTTTGTTCAGACCGCTTGATGCTGCTTGGTCTCCTCATTCAGAGTCTTCCTCCTCTCCTCAGCCTGGATCCGTATCTGGTCACCTTTGAGCTGCTCTACTGCTGCTTCATACTCCTGTGCAGGTTAAAAGCAAAACAAAACCTTCATAAACGGACATAAAACAAAAAACGGCGCTTTCCACCCTTTAATAAAAAAAAATCACATGGGACGCCTTAATGAAGCTGAAATGATCACCAACAAAGTCGATGAATCTAACCAAAGCAGTGATTTTAGGGTATATAGTCAATCACACCCTAAATTATCAATGCGATCGACCTACTTAAAGTCCCCAAGTCTAACTTAGATGGTGTGGCATGACTTCATTGACGCTGTTAACATCCAAAGATGTTTTTAAACAGCTTTCTAAACGGGCAGGTTTTACAAATGCTTAATGGCAGCTGCTGGCAACATAATCTAATTAACAGGGTTAATTACTTTTCAGCAGTTAGGCTGGATACAACAGGTGCAAAACAAATCAACTCGCCTCCCTTCAAACTGCTTGGCATGTATCACTGCTCTTAAATTGTGTCACTGTACCTTTATTTTACTCTGGTGTTCCATCTGAGTGCTCTGCTCCTGCATCCGGGCCAACTCCAGCGCTTCTTTGGCGTGTCCTAACAGAAGGAGAAAACAAAGGGTTAAGCTGGATTCTGCCTGTAGTAGGGCTGCAGCCATCTTTCAGTAATTGATTAATCTATCAATTATTTTTTCATTGATCTAAAAAAGAAACACATTTGGTAAATTAACAATTCTAAATTAAGCAATGTTTGGAATTTAGAAGATAAAAGAACCATAAGCTCTTTCTAGAATTGTAGATTAAGCTCCACCTGGTTTAAATTCTAAATAAACATTTCATTAAGGCGTCTTTTCGACTGTTGAAGTTCAACTTAACTGAGGTATTATTATTACCGTATTTTCACGACCATAAGGCGCACCGGACTAAAAGGCGCAGTCTCAGTTATGTGTGCCATTTCTGTATTTAACACACACATAAGGCGCACCGGACTATAGGGCGCGTTTTTTATATAAAGGTACATGTCCTCTCAGGTGGATTTTCTCACTTAAAAACATATTAAAACTACTTTATTCTCACTGATCACAGCAAATAAAGCTGCAAGGTGTAATTATTACAAAGTATTATTCAAACCTGGGAACCAGCCGTGAGAGACACATCGCTGATGACACAGGGCTGTGATTACTCCTCTGATACAGTTTATTGACGCATAAATTAACTTAAAACATAGGCAGGATAATAATCTGGATGAACTGTCTGCAATGATTACATTTTCAGGTGGACTTTCTCACTCAAAAAGATTTAGATTATTTAGATGAAAAAACACCTGCGGAGGTGAGCCCTGATGCGCTGCGGCCCAGAGGCTGCTGTTGAATTAAGTTTTCAGGCAGAAAAATAGAGCGGGAGCAAAACTGAGTATGATTGTGCTTTATTCATGTATTTATTACAGAGTATTAATCAAACCCCTCAAAGTCCTCATCCTCTGTTTCTGAATTAAACAGCTGCGCTAAATCCGACATGCCAGTTTCCCCTTCTTCTTCGTTTATTGACGCATAAATTAACTTAAAACATAGGCAGGATAATAATCTGGATGAACTGACTGCAATGATTAAATTTTCAGGTGGACTTTCTCACTTAAAAAGATTTAGATTATTTAGATGAAAAAACACCTGCGGAGGTGAGCCCTGATGCGCTGCGGCCCAGAGGCGGCTGTTGAATTAAGTTTTCAGGTAGAAAAATAGAGCGGGAGCAAAACTGAGTATGATTGTGCTTTATTCAAGTATTTATTACAGAGTATTAATCAAACCCCTCAAAGTCCTCATCCTCTGTTTCTGAATTAAACAGCTGCGCTAAATCCGACATGCCGGTTTCCCCTTCTGCGCTGTCAGAGTCACTTTCCGTGCCGGGCGGCTCCTTGGAAATGATGCCGGCTTTTGCGAAAGCCTCTTTAGGCAAAGTCTTTCTTTTAAAAATCACCATAGGCGGCAGTTTCTGTCCATTTGCGTGGCAGCCAAGCACAACAGTAAACGACGCCTTTTCATACCCCGTTGTGTGTATCGCTACAGTGCTGGTCCCCTTCTTCTCCACGGTGTGATTCACCGGGATGTCGAAAGTGAGCGGCACCTCGTCCATGTTGGTGATGTGGCCTGGCTGGATGACTTTGTCAGCGATGTGTTTGCTGCAGAAGGAGTGGAAGCTCGCCAGCTTTTCATCATAATCCGCCGGACGTCGCAGAGCAACTGTAGTCCTGGTCCGGATGGAAAAATTGCACCGTTTCATAAAACGGAAACACCACGATGGACCTCCTTGAAAATTTTCAATTTTCATTTCTTCCGCCAGCTTTACTGCTTTTAGTCGAACAGTGACCGTTGAAACGCTGTCCCCACTCGTTCTTTGCTCGATTCACCGCTCGAGTCTTTCCTCCAACTCGGGCCACCTCGTCTTATGTCCGCGGAAACTCAGCTGCGTCTTCTTCACCAGTCGGAGTTCGTTTTCCAGCTTCCTCCACTTGCGAACCATCGATTCATTTATATTGAATTCTCTCGCAGCTGCTCGATTTCCATGTTCCTCTGCGTAGCTGATAGCCTTCAGTTTAAACTGGGCTTCATAGGCGTGTCTCTTTGCCAATTTCAGGATGTGTTAAGACAACAATTTTCTGCATAGAGCACATACCTGTTCTTTTATACACAAGCCACGCCCACACTTCCCCCTTTAAGGTTCTCACATACTCATGGTGGTCTCAACAACGTCCGCAGATAGGGCGCACCGCACCATAGGGCGCACCCCACATTTTGAGGGAAAAAAAGACGTTTAGGTGCGCCTTATAGTCGTGAAAATACGGTATAAGGTCGTGCTTCAATTGTTTTATTTATTTTATGCATTTTTTAATCTTTATTTGCTTTTATTCTGCTTTTTATTTCTTCTATTTTATTATCTAGTTCATGTAAACCACTTTGAATGGTCTATGTGGTGCATTGGGCGATACAAATAAACTTGATTATTAATCAAATATAACAATCAAAAACTGAATATCAGTGCAAATTGATTTTTTATATTTGAAGCTGCAGTTATTGTTATTTATATAGATCAACTATAAAATGAACAAATGGACAGAAATTTATTCAAAATGTAAAAGAAACAGTGACATAAAATAAAGAGGGAATAAAAACATGAAATGTGAGATTTTGCCTTTTTAACACCTTAAGGACACATATTGGCAGCTTGTTTGACTTTCAGGAAAAAAGAAAGTCTAATCTTTAAAATTGTAAAATTAAGAAAAAACATCCTATTAATAAAGTTTATTTTAAAGCAGTTTATTCTCTGCACTCAGAGCTGGAAAACAATTCCAAAATTTTCCTACTTTAGGTTAAAAGATAAAAACATTTTTTTCAGCAACCTGTAGAGTACCACCTTGCACTTTAAATTTTTTCACGTTACAACCACAGATTTCAATATATTACTGAGATTTATAACTCAGACTAGATATAGTCAACCTCAGTCCTTGTGCCTCTGCTCCAACCCCTGAGAAAAATCAATGGATCGTCTCTACAGCCCATCACTAAGCTTCACAGCAACCTGGTAACGATGCGGCCATGTTTGCTGTCTACCTTCATCTAATATATGCAGGACAACAGTCATGGAGGACTGGAGATAACTCAGATATAAATGAATTGGGAGGTAAAAAATATGTGGATTTCAAATAAAATCAAAAAAACAAAAAAAAAGAAACTGCAGCAATGGTCTCCGATTTCTGCTCTCCTTAGTTTGAACTGTAGGCCATGGAATCTGTGGTGTCAGTCTCTGAAAAACACCTAAATATTGTATTTATATTTATTTGTTTGTTCTTCGTTTTTATCAAACCCTCCTGAAATTCTTCCTTGACCCATCTTCATGATGCTCCGATTTCACTAATATTCTCTGATAGAACTCCGAGACCACCAGAATAGAGCAGCACGTCTCCTAATTTGAAATTACACGCTAGTGAACTCTTTATTAGTGAAAGAGATGACATGATAGGAATATTAGAGTAAATGAGGATGACTGCAAATAGATCCCACACTTTTCACACACACATACACATACATATATATATATATTAGATTAGATTAAACTTCATTGTCATTAAACAGGTACAAGGCAACGAAATGCAGTTTAGGTCTAACCAGAAGTGCAATAGCAGCAAGTGCAGGATAAATAATGGTTCGATTAAAACAGGACATGGGTTTCTACTGAATAAGTATAGAGATCGATACCATTATAAACAGAATCTTACTAACAGATGAATATAATTTATAGATAACTAGTGTTATGAACTAAATTTACAGCTGGATATGTACCGAATATAATATACAGGTGGACATTACCTCAAAACACACACATGCATATGTATATATATATATATATATATATATATATATATATATATATATATATATATATATATATATATGTGTGTGTGTGTATATATATATATATAAATGTGTGTGTTTGTGTATATATATATAAATGTGTGTGTGTGTGTATATATATAGATTTATATATATATAAACATTGTAAACCATTTACAAATGACGTTATCCCACCTGAAAATTACGCATGATTTGGTGTCAAACTGTTCCAGAAACTATATTAAAGTTTATGGTGATAAAGTGATAGAAAAAAGGTGCATGGATATAGATTCCTCTGCAGCAACCTCCACTGCAAGGTTGTGACCTTTGCACTCTGACTGAAAACACGTGGATGTAGTGCAGGCTTAATTCTAATATTTCATGCTTAAAATCGATGATCCATTTAAGGACAGGTTGTTCTGATGCAGGCTGTTAGTGTGAACACGTTATTTAAGATGTTGCATCACCTGAGCTTGACCGTAAAGGATGGAGATTGCTGTGTTTTTACTTTTTAACTATATTATTGATGAATTTAACCTAGACCTGTGCTAATCGGACCCACCCTAAGCCCACCGGAACACTTACGGGACTTGTCGAGTTCCTTGGCCGCCTGGGCTGCCCGCTCCAGCCCGGTGGGATCGAAGTTGCTCCATTTGTCCTTGGGTTTATCTCCGCCGCCGCCGGAGCCTCCGGCCGGCGGAGGAGGGGGAGGCTGCGCCGGTAAACCGGGAGGGGGTTCGGGCTGGCCCCTGTTCAGTCCGAACAGCCACGACATGGTGCCGAGGAGGAAATTAAGAGCACAGTTCTGCCGCTTCTGTGAAAGGATTACAGATCTGTCAGCGAACCTCCTCCACACGCGTGACACGCCGAGACAGTCTACGCATGTGCAGTGCGTAGCGGAGGTTCAGGTGAACAAAGTGAGCGGTGATTGGCTCAGTGGGAGTATTTCCTATTTTCATTGGCTGGAGAACTTCCTCTTCTTCTTCTTGTGTTTTATGGCGGTTGGCAAACAACTTTTTGGTGCATTACCGCCGCCAACTGAAATGGAGTGTGGATCGGGAATGAACTTATTCAATATCCTATAACTACTAAAGTAAACTAGAAAAACAAAACAAAAAAACAACAACACCTAAATCCTCTTTAACGAATGTGTCTTTTTAAGGAATCCCAATAATATGTATAATCCAAGTATAAAAGGTATTTTCAGTTTAACTTAAATTTTTTGACTTGTAATCTATTTATCAATTCATTTCTGGCTGTAGAACTGTGGAGGTCATCTACTGAAATCCTTCCCACAACATGTACGGCAACCCCTGAGGGTCATAATGCCTTTTCTGGGTTGCATCAGGCTTGAGGTTCATGCTTGAAAATAGTTACATTTTGAAACTAACTTCCAAAAAATGCAAATTATTTATTCTAATTTTTAAAAATATTTATTCCACATGTTTACAATTTTTGTAGAAGTAGGGGGAAACTATGAGTTTAGGTACCCGTTTAGGTAGAGTGTATGAAATACAGGTACATAAAAAAAATCACACTGTAAACAATATGTTGGCAAAACCTGCTGTCATGGGCGGATCTGGACAGTAAAACTGGTTCCTGCCCCTCTACTTAAGATGTAATACAAAATACATTTCTTATGAATATATGCACTAGAACAGAAACCTGGATCTACGTCATACGCTTACCTTCAACAATATTTAAAATAAACGTGTTGCACTTTTAGCTTCAGTCGTATCAATAAAGCATCAAAATTTTAGGGCTGCACAAATTTCAGTTTTCTAGCAGATTTTCTTTATAGCACTAGTTACAGAATCAAAATACACCTTAAATGTTTTAATCTTATCTTATTGAAAAAAAGAACAAAGGCTTGTTTTAACTGATAACAACTCTCTTAAATATAAATGTTTAGAGCACTGATTGTAGCTGATGATTAGACTGCAGTAGAGGTAGAGAAGATTGGTGATTAAGATCGGTTTTGAGTATCGGCCAATCTCCCAAAATTAAGGAAATAGTGCACCCCTACTCTTTAATCTGCTAAATCTGGGGTCTCCAGAGCCACAGTTGGTATCCTTGGTTCTGCCTCACTTAATGTAACAAAAGATGAACTAATACCTCAATGTTTGTTTCATTGGTTTATTTGGTAAATTTTACCTAGAATCAGACACTGCCTATTTTAAATGGATGTTCATTGTTAAGATGGTGACATTAATAAAAAGAAAAATGGGGAACAGAGCTGGAGGTTGCAGAGGTGAGAATTTGATTTGTACACAGGCAGAGAGGTAAGACTATGGGTTTTTTGTTCATCACAGAGGAATATTGAATTTAAGGAGTGTGGAGGCGGAAATTGGAGCGACTTGGAAACCTTGTGAATGTGGGGAATATGTAGCAGGATGCTGTGACAGAGGACTTTTCTAATGGCAGGGTGAGATGAAGCCAACAGATAGCGGCTATCCAGATGTATAAATAAAAAGGCTGAAAGCTGGGGTTCCAATCGTTCTCTCTAAATATCTTTTCAGAATCCTATCTTAGCATTCAAAATAACAGTTAATCTCAAAACATTCAATAACAACACTTCCTCACCATAAGAAATAAAACATTTATTTACAAATTAACAAACTCCACAGAAGCATCAAATCAGAGCTTACAGCTTACAGTTGTAAAGCCAGATATGCCTGAAGATATTGTTCAGTAAGAAATGAACTGCATGTTTTGGAATAGATGGATTACTTGATGTCTGTATGTGATAAGTTTCCTTCAGGAACATAATCTAACTCCTCCCTATGACGAACAACAGGATTCTTCCGAACATGCATTTTCTTCCATATCTACAATGCATTGCTTATAAATGACACAGGTAGTGTGCGAAAGTGTCCCTTTATACCAGAAATATCAATCCAACATCATTGATCAGATTATCAACAACACGCAAGACATTTTATACATACAGGGAGTCCTCTCTTTAGCCTGCCTTCGATGAGAAAAATCTGAATATTTCATATGTAACGTATATCAATGAAATGACAAGTTGATGCCTGTGAACAACATAGTCAATGCAGGAGATCTGCCTCCTGAATCCAGTCTTCTACTGCAGCATGACCCTGGAGAGGACGCCAGGAGGCTCTTTTCCGTCTCCCAGGGCCGCCTGGAAACCCTCCTGCTGACGAGCTCGAGCCAGCTTGGCCAGTGACAGGAAAGTCCGAGGCTCAGTGATGGCCAGGTCGCTAATTACACGGCGGTTAAGCTGAACACTGCACTGTAGAAAAAAAAAAAAAGAAGCATAGTAAAGTGTGTGTGCAGGAACATCACTGGGACTGCTGCAGACAGGGGAGTAACAATTCAACAAACCTTGGTGAGGTTGTGTATGAGGACGGGATATTTCATGCCGTGCTCTCGTGTTCCTGCTGCAATGCGGCTGATCCACAGCTGACAAAAAGGAATATATTAGCATTATTTACAAAAGTATTCGTACAAAACTGTATGGCAAGTGAATGACCATAAGACTAACACAATTAGGGGAATATAGATCGAGAAACATTATGACACAACTTAGTTGGGGGTTTTTTTACATTTTCATCAACACTATTTCTGATCTACTGAATATCTAGAATGATTAAATCACAAAAAGGTGCAAGAGTTGCCCTAATAAAATACCATTAGTAAAGACTATGGTAGTGATGTTATAAGACGAGCCGAGGCTTTGAGGCATGTGTTGAATATTGGAGGGGGCGTTTCCACAAAGCACATGTCAAGGCGTGATTCATTTAGAGGAGGGGCCAAAATCTATGACATCCGAAGACTCGCTACCTTTGATACCACATGACCGCTTCGGGAAGTGGTTCAGGACGTGCAAGAAAAAAAACGAAAAAAGAAAAAAAAACAATTGCAAAATAAATCACAGATTGTATTACTAACGGTAGTTCTGCACTCCACCAGTAGGTGGTGACATGTTCACATAGAGCATCATGAACTGTGGGGATCATTGAAGCAATTTGGCCAAATGGTTCAATGCCTAATCTCACCATCACTAGACAATGGTGAAAATTTAACTTTTCACAGGTTCCAACATAAATTCTAAACATAAATTATGAAAAACTTTTAGTTAAAAATTGATACAACTTTATTTGTAGCAGGACTAGTGTGGACTCTAATGACTATGGCCTTCAAGATCTTCTTAACAGATTCTTTCATGGAGTGTGATCCCGATGATTAACAGCTATGACAACAATGGTTGGTTGTTTTATAGTTTAACCTTTAGTAGCAATGTTTAAATGCTTATTAGGTGGTTTTGCTATCATCTTGAATGCTTGCGTGAGTGGATAATGCAGTGGCAATGCATACTTGAACAGGGTTTATACAAGAATGAGCAACTCTAATTTTATGCTTTTTAATGTTCTTAGAAATAATTTTAATGCCATCAACAAGTATCCATGACTGTCATATATACACGGCAAATTCCTTCTTTAACTTTACCGTCAGCAGGCTGCAAATCCTCGATTTCCTGCCACTTTTGCTGAAACTAGCATTTTCACATTCTCTAGCTTTCTCTCCGCCTCGAACTTCTTTTCCAAACATTAAATTGTGATATGTTTGTATATATATATATCGTTTAATAAATTGTTTTATAAACATTTTTTTTTCAACTAGAGCATTTTAAATGCCAAAATAATCAAATTTTATGAATTTTAATTCCGATTCAGGCATTAAAAAGATTATTTAATGACCTTTAATGATATTTAATGACCCACAGAAATCCTGTTGAACTACTTTAGCAAACCTCAACAACTTCTTATTCTCAGTATTTTTCTCTCAATTATCTGATACTGTTTGATATTAATAGTCTTTTTTCTTCAGATTGATGGTTAAAGATGACTGAATAAAAAATATCTTCATCGCAGCCTGACCTGATCCACTTTTTAAAGTGACTATCTAGGTTTTGTTGTTGCCAATATTTTTCCAGAAATTCCAACATAGAAAAAATTTAGATGCCTCTTTTCTATGGGTCACCTAAAGGAAGAAGGAGATTGGGTTGACCTCAAAAGCACCATGTGTTTGATTGTTTGTTTTTTTATGACTGTTAATGAGAAGTATCCCCACTGGCATCCCTGGATTCTTGCTGAGAAGATGGTGATAATTGTGCATTTTGTTCAGGACAGCAAAAGATTTCCTAGTCTCAGAAATTAAAAGATTGCAACAAAATTATTTTGCAAGAATTAAAGCAATTATGCTGTGGCAGCTATAAAAAAAAATACATAGAAAGACATGTATAAGATAAATTTCCTAAATAAAAAAACAAATAAATAAAAAGCACTCAAATAAACTCTGGTTGCTTATGTGATTTTAACAGAGGAATATGTGTATTTTAAGGAGGTGATTTTCACTTTATTAACATTTTACAACTAAATAAATCAAACAGTGCAACTTTAGTTTTCTTTAAGTGACTACACTGAATTTTGCTGACTCAACTGTTGAGCCCTAAAACGAGCATTTTGACCTTGGCTTGCATGTTTGTGTCTCACCCTCCTCATGTTGTGCTTCTTAAACCTCCGAGCTTTAGTGGAATAGACCAGAGCCCTCCTGACAGCCAGCACTGCCAGTTTGTAGCAGCGGTTCTTCCTGCCTCTGAAGTGCTGGGGGACAAAACAGCGAAAAAAACGTTAACATGTGTTAGTTCAGTCCTCCTAAGCTCAGCGACCTATTTACAGTCATTTGAAAGGATAACCTGAGAATTGTAGATATAATTAAAGTCGGAATTAGATATTTTTATTGTCACAGCTCCAGGAAATAGTCTGAGCCTCACCCGAGCATGTTTAAGGAGTTCTTGCACTTTCCAGAATCGGTCTGGTCCACGGTTGCGGATCCAGCAGGACAGCGTTAAAAATACCATTATGTTCT